AAATGGAGGTTAAAAGATTTCTCCTACAATTCCACAAGAACAAGCATCAGGAATCGAGTTTCACGGAATACATAATGGCACGGAATACGTCTCGAAAGTTACAAATGTGCCAGAGACGTAAATAAAAACTAAACTGGACCCTTAAAAAATCAATATTGCCGAAAAGAATGAATAATGTCATCGATATTTCTACCGAATGGGGGTAGAAATTTATCGCGGAACCTGTGCCAGCGACTTGTTGCGAAATTACAGTAGAACGAGTTTACTACATGTCGGATATAACTCGAGAAATTTAATAATTTTTAGCGCCGGTCTGTAAAGTTTTTAAACAGCATAAATAACAAACGAACAATCTGTTGAAAAGCTCGCAGTACACCGAGTTCCGCGCCCTTCAGATTCCGGAGCTGAATCTTGTATTCTTAAGTACATACGTGTATGTACGTACGCGCTAGGAAACTTTTGGGATCTCGACCTGAATCCGACAGGGATCCTCGGTTCTAGACTCGATAGTTTTGGGTACCCGCATATCCCGATGATCTAGATTTCTTATGTGAAGTCACCTGTTTGCTTTCAAATCTTCTCTCAGCTCTCGTCTCCTTCCTCTCGTCCTCAATCTCCATTACTCTCTACATTTTTAGTTTCTGCTCCTGCAACTCTTGATCCACTACTCCACATGCTCCACAGGTCAAAAGAGAGAGAGAGAGAGAGAGAGTAGTATACAGACTTTTGTTCGCTTTTTATAAACAGTCGTTTACACGTTGCACGGGAGAAGATTTTTCTGCAATTTTGTCCCTGGAGTTTATGCTTTCGTGACAGGAACGAGTGGGTCGAATAAGAAACAATAGGACGATTTTAAATTTAAAGAAATCGAAATTACTGCTCTATTCAAAATTAGAATCAATAACGAAACTGTCTTTTTAAATGAAATTTATTTGGAGATTGAATTTAGATTTTCATAACACATTTTATATTTGTACTTTAATGAAGTATAAACTGTATATTGGCGCATGAATTGATTAAATTGTGAAATTACTAGAACTTAATTTTGATTTTATGTCACTTGTAAATCATTTAATAAGCTGTATAGATATAACTATATTTTAATTATTTAAATTAAATATTAATTTAATTTTTATAGATTAACTATACATAGTTAAATTTTGATTAAGAACGATAATTCTATTCCAATACAACTTTATCAAACCTTGTTCTGAGTTAAACGCAAGTATTCTTTGATATTTTATTGATGCCTGCTTTTAAAATTAAATGTTCTTCAAACCATTTCATTTTAGAGATAGGTAAAAATTTTTAACATCAAACAATCAAAGCGAATGAAAATATTATGAGATATATAATTGTTATTATTACAAATAGTTAATTATGAATAAAATTAATTGCTAAAAAATAACGTCGGTCGTAATTCTATGAAATAGCATACAAAGGCATAAAAGAAGTTTTGTTTATCAGAGAAAATACAGGCAAATGGTATTTTAAGATGTTTTACATGTGAGAACAATTTTAAATTTAAGGTAAGGACCACTAACAAATAATTCAAACAAAATGCTAAATTGAAGATCTTATTCAAGAACGTTAAAATTAAGATACTAGGTTCTGAAGTCACTTTCGTGGAAGACTCGTAATGTTGGAATGCTATTGCATGGAAACGCCAGTTTTGAAGATATGAAAATGAAAGGGAGGTACTTTGAAGTTCGTATATATGTAATAAGAGATTGCTGGATTCGTGCATATGTCGAACAAGAAGAGCGAGCAGAGACGTAGAAGTCTGCTGCGACTTTAGAAGAGTTTGCAACAGGTAGTGAATTAATTGTTATTTTCAATGCATTCAAAATTTTAAGATCGTTGTGAAATTACAATTTATTGAAGACATTTTTATTTATAATCTACATTCGTTGTTTTTGATTACACGCTGTCGCATTCATCTCATTATAATGATCAATACATATAACGTATAATACTTAAATAATATTAGTATCAATATTTAACTGGAGATTTAACTGGAGATTAACAAGAGAACTGATCATGACTATCTGTCATGTTTGTTTAGAAAATTATAACATGAAATATTCCACTCGAATTTTGGAATTATAGTCGAAAAAGAAGAGTAAATGTTGCGTTTAGTGTTTAGTATTT